TTCTCTGAAAACGGGCATCTGATCAGGCACTGTCAGAGTAATGCTGTAGAAACAGCCCTCTGCATAGGTGAACTCATTACACTGCCAACAGAAGTTGCCATCTTCTCAGAGGGATCAGGCATGACCAGCAGAAACACGCAATTTTAGTTAAGCTAAAGCATGTGGCACTACTCAAATAAACAACAGACACAAAAAAAGTCTACATAAAACATTACCTCCTTATTCATTTGATCTGTTCCACACGTGCACCAAAAGCACAGTTGCTGCTTTTAGTGATAAAAATAAAATGGAAGTGCACTTCACCCCAGTGGAATAACAGAAATGGAAAATGTGGAACCCCATAATGACATTTTTATAAACCTTTTTCAGAACGGAACTGCACTTTAAACATTTTCTTCATTTTATTTTTAAAGATCCTCAGGAATACAGAAAAGATGTACATAAAAATATTTTTCCCCTCAAAAACGATGTATAGAGAATGCAAGAGTAAGCAATGCCCGTCCAGGGACCAGCTAGTCTTATACATGTTTAAGGGAGAAAAAATACTAAACAACCCTGGCATCACAGCACAGCACCTGGGCTTTATGGGAAAGCCTTACAGCCTGGGGATGACAGAAAGATTTAGGCTGGAAGGCACCTCAGCAGGTCTCTGGTTCAACGTCCTGCTCAAAGCAGGGTCAGCCATGAGATCAGACCAGTTTATTTGTTCTGGGCTTGAAGACTGGAGACAGTATTCCAGTTGCAGACTAGTAAGTGCCAAATAAAAGGGGGTAATCATCAATTTACTATACTCGTGTTAACCCTTTTTGTTGCCAGGGCACATGGCTGGCTCTCTACCAAGATCCCCAGGTTCCTTCCAGCAGAACTGCTGCCAGCCAGTCAGTCAGTCTTACTATAAAAGGTTCTTTCTCCCGAGATGCAGACGTTGCATTTGTCCATGTTGAATTTCATAAGATTCCTGTTGGCTCATTTCTCAGCCTAAGTCCCTCTTAATAGTGGTCTTGCCCTTATGTGTATCAGCTGTCCCCCATCCATTTTGTGCCACCTACAAACTTGATCAGCAACTTCAACACCTCCTTCAGGTCACTGATGTTGAACAGGGCATGTCCCACTACATTCCCCTGTGGAAGTCCACTTGTTATTGGCTACAAGTGCACCACCACCTCTTAATCGTTATCTCCTGAGCTCAATCACCCAACCAGATGGATATGTACATATAGCGATTCGGAGAGGTAACTTCCAAGGCTCCAATTATTTGGAAGCCCATGCAGGATGGCAGCATGCAAAAGGAAGGACGTTTCAAGGCAACTTAATTAGGAATGAACTAGGCCTAATTTCCCCTGAAAAACCCCACACCAAAAATTAAACTTAGAGGCTCCCAAGATCACCTAGAATGAAATGCTAAAAAAATACCCAAGCGTATCTGAAACTAAGCATTAATGAGTGTTTAATGAGGAATACTCACATCACTTCTAGTCGAGCCATTCTGGAGTCATTTCCTCCAAAAGAAATGACCTCACAGGTATAGTCTCCAATGTCACCTGACCATGTCTGGCTGATGAGGAGGGTGCCATCCTTCTCTACTGTGATCCTGGAAGTGCTGGATGGATTTATTACGACACTGTCCTTCTTCCAAAGATACCTGAGTATTACAATATTTCAGTTATTAATTACTCATAAAAGCATCAAAACAGATTTATTTGAACTGTGCTGTATGGTATCAGCATCTGTAATCACATGTTAAAAATGACAGGCTCCTACAATTACTTTCAGGAGCAGTGTCTTTTACAAATTTAAGTTTCAGGTCACCAATCAGAAAGAAAAATGTAGTTGCATCCAAGATACTATATATTTTTTAAACAATACTATATATGGAAAAGGTGCAGTACTCAAATGTCCAAGTTCTTAAGTCCACCTTCATCAGCATTTTAAACTAAACATCATGCTCTGCAATTAACAGCTGAGGTGTTGGCCTATCTCTGCTAAGGCTGTAATAACATTAGACTGTCATAATCAGTGGCAGTTGTCATCAAAACACTCACAGAGATGAGGATAGCCCATGGTCTTAAAATTAAGTATTTCTACATGACATTTATACACCTGGATTTCTCTTTCCAAAGTTCTTTCTGCAGTTCACCTGTCTAGCACCCTTCAAAGCTGTTCCTTGCATTTTCTTTCATTAATGTTGCTTTCAGGGTACATGAATTTTCATGGCAAATTTATTTAAAAATTATGAGCTTCCTCTAAATGCTCTAGTGCAAATTTTAATAGTTCAGGCAAATTCTGTTTTCCTTTACACAGTTAATGCAGAATATAGCCCCTAGTTATAAAGTTGTTTCCAAGAACATGGGCATCTCTTGTGTGGCTCTCATGCGCCCCAATGTAAACACTTCAGCAATCCTATTCCTTCTCTTTGACTTTTACTCTCATTAAGTATCAGCTTCTGACAAGTTGGTTTTATTGATAGTGTATTAACCTTGACAGTAAAATCATGAAAGGCTATATTGAAGTCATGAAGTGGAACACAGCTCATTGTAAATAATACATAAGGCTGAAATGGAAGATGGGATTTATATGATTAATGATACAGTGTACAACCTTATAATGCAGTAATCAGGGGTCTGGTGTTAAAATCTGGGGTCCTGAAACTCTTCACCTAATGTTATTCACATAGTTTATAAAATTAAGCTTGGATAAACCATACAAACGAGTACTGACATTACCAACCTGATTGAAATTCTAGGATCATGAGTTGCTTCACATCGTAGAGTGGCTGTGGTTCCTTTGATCACAGTGCTATCCTCAGGAGGGTGAACAATGACAGTGCGATCTGAAAGGAACACAAGCCATAGTTCAGGTGAAATGATAGCATTTTGACTTGGGCATTCACTCAGAGAGCAGGCAACTTAACACCTGTCACTCAAAGCAAGCAGGCCATTCCTCTTCAGGTCTTTGCTGGGAAAGCTCTCCCTCCTTTAATGTCATTTTGTCAAGAAGAGGTGGTAGGCTGTGGGTTGCAGAGAAGCAAAAGCAGCAGAGGGTATGAGCCTAAGTCGGCAGTGATCCGAGTAGGAAGAGTGCTAAAGCTCTTTCACTTGTCTTGTGGTAAACATTGATGTCAACTCCCTACAGTCATAAGGCAGCAAGTATGTTTGTAATGCATTATGAACGAATCCAAACATACACCGAGTCAGGAAAGAAGTCACACTGTCTGGCACAGGGAAAACATAAACAAAACCAAAGAAAATCTGTGCAAAGAATACAATAGAAAAATACTCAGAGGACAACTTAAATGGCACCCCCTACAATCTTGTCAAATGCAGGGAAGAGGTTAAAGAAGGAAGAGCTTCTGGTAGTCTGAATTTTCCATATAAGAAAGATACGCTATTTATCCAAATTTTTCAGAACATCCTTTGGCAAGCACCTCCTGGAGACCCAGAACACAATAACTGCTGTAACTACAGCAACCAGATCTGGTGTGAAAGATCTCTGTTATACTTAACACACAGGAACAGCAGCAGGTAACATTAGCTGAAGCAGGTAGTCAACTAGGATGAGTATAGAAGATATGTGGATAATGTTAACCACATCCCTACAGAGATAATCAAGGTCTACTGAGATACCTCATACATGCACAAGAAGGAGTCATCAAAAGCTAAGTCTAATAACATAGAATTTTTATCATTATTCCTGATGTACTTATGTATGCCTTCTAGCTTTATAATGGTGCTGTTGCTACACAAATATTAGGTTATAGTCACTTTTCCCTCTCCAATGCAGTACAATGAACTGGAACTATCTGTAATACATATAAGAACCATGCCTTTAAGAACTAATAGGAAGAATCTCCTTCACTTGATCCATACACCTGGCTATCATTCAGTTTACAACACCCTGATACGTATACCAACTCCATATTGTCAGTAAGATGTAAGTATGATGGCTATATGACATGAGCACATTTCATTTATTGCTAGTGTTGTTTTCAGATATTCCCAAATTTAAAAGGAAAAAACGTTGCTGCTTTAACTTGGACACTTTTGGGATTAAAAAAGGGCAAATAGGCACCACACATGAGCAGCATAATCAGTACTTCAAGTACAGGAAAGGAGAGAGGGCCACAACACTTCTGTATTTATCACCATCATCTTCACTGGTTTTAATTATTTTCAGTTCCAGCTCAGGGCTCATTATTTCCTACCTTTAGTAGCAAAAAACATTTTACACTTAGGCTGAACTCATGAGTAACACAGGTGAACCTGTTGGATCAGACTCTCTTCCCCAACAGAAGAAAGAAAAAAATAGAGATCAAGGGCAAATGGTGAAGGAAAAAATCGTTTCATGGGTTGGCCTGTGCCGTGCCAATCTGTAGCATGAGAGAGTAGCTGAAGTCTGCTGCACTGTGGTTTGGTTTCAAACAGTGCTCAGGACCACAAAGAAATACAAAGGTATACGGAAAATTATACCTGCTGTAACTGTGGCCACAGCCTTAGTAACAGCATGGGCTGGTCTATACTGTGTGCAGAGTCCTGGAGTCAGAAACCAACTGCAAATAGCTGGCTAAAAGGTATGATTTGCAATGCAAGTTGCAGCAAGGCAAAACCTGTGACTCTGTCTAACCTGAGTCAAACTGTAATTGTGATTGAAACTATATTTAAATACACATCCTTCCACAAAATATAAAAGTTCATATGAATAATTTTACAAACAAAAAGGGTATTTTTGATAGGTTTCCTAAAATAGAGACATTATTGCTATTAAATCATACAAGTATCTCTATTAACTAGAAAAACATAATTATTTATGAAAATTTCCTGAGCATACAGCAAAAACTGAACTACTTGATTAAAGTTAGACTTTAAACAAAGCATTATCCTTACTCCACACTGTCAGCATCACAAAAGCATTCAGAGCTCCTTCAGTGTTGACTGCACAGCAAGTATAATTGCCAGCATCCTGAAGGAAAACGGGTGTTATCTGGAGCCCCCCAGATTCAAGAAGAATGAACCGAGGAATCTGAACTGAGCCACTGGCTAAGATCTGGCTTCCTGAAACACAAGAGGAAAACAGCGTGATTAGTATCACCTAGATTGCACAGACTAAACATTGCAATTCTGGTTCTTCCAAAAAGACTATTACAGTCTATCCAGGCCACTGGCTCACAACAGTCCCACAACAAACCTTCTGCTTGCAGAACCAGAGAAATGAAGAAATATGCACTAAATGGATCTACAGCATCTCAGTAATAGGAAAGGATGAGAAAACACAGATTACAGTTTTTCTACTACTTAATAACTGGCTACCTTTCTTCCAGGAGATGGCAGGTTTTGGAGCCCCTGAAACTTCGCATGTTAGCACTGCAGTCATCCCCTCCGTGACAGTGGTATCCTCTGGAGGCTGTATAAATGCTGGTTTAATATCTGGAATCAAAAATTCAAAAACCTCAATGCATCAGCTACCAGAAAGATCCTTTCGTTATTATCATGGACTACTTTACATCTACTTTTATAGAGCTGATCATGGAGAAGGACATGACAATAATACATGAAAACCTTCCAGCAGTGACTGTAACCTTTCATTATTCATCTCCTAGGAATTGCCTAATTCAGTTTATTACCTGCACGGAAAATAAAAATCTATCAGTGCTTGTACATGTACAAGTAAGATGTCTTTTAGAAAAAGGAAGATAAACGTCAAAATGGGTGTTTGGGGGGAAGCTGAGAAATCTAGATAAACAAAACTATTTTCTTTCATCTTCATAACAGAGTTCTTTAAGATGAAAAGCAACTTGAGAAAGGCATTAACTTTGAAACTTAAATGTCAGCCAAAAGAATTTAGAACCTGAGTCTTATCCAAGACATTTTCCAAATTTCTTTCTCTCTTATTTCCCCCCCGTTACATTTTACTATGCTTTTTTCCCTGCAGTTTCCTAGATATATATTGATCTGGGGCTGATCTATTTTCTGAGGCTAGTAGGAATGCTGGTCAGTATGTGCAAACTGCTCTTGGGCTAAAAATCAGTTTCCTGAAGAGGAGTGAGAGTATTAGAAATGCCTGCTAATAACTGCTTTTAAAATAGGCTACTAGGATTTGTAGGTCTTCCATAGAGATGAGTGTAATTCATTAACAAAAGCATTTAGTCAGACATCTTCTCCAAAAAAAAGACATTTAACTTGAACTTTCTTTCTTTCCCCTACTAAATGTAGTTCTAGACAAAAGGTAGATAAAATGATACGATGCACAATCAGAGCAGAATTAGAGCAGATCTAAATTATTTAAGTATAAAGGAAAGAGAAAAGTATTTCACAATTAACCTTTTTTTTTCTTTTTTCTTTTCACTGATTTCTCCTTTTGTAGTGTGCAGTAGGGGAGTTCACCTCAAGCCCTTACTGTCATGGGAAGTTTTTCTACAGCCTTCAGCAGACTATGTTCAGGTCACAGACGGCATTTTGGGGTACCTTACAGCTAGGGCAGCTATACTTGATGAAAATCAAGGCTTTGTGAGTTGACCTACAGCAGCACAGAGCAGGGGAAAAGTCTGATGGATACAGGGTCACCTACAGAAATGACAAGACAACTCAGTGATCTCGTATCACAACTCCTTACTCACTGTTCACATCCAGGTAGGTGTACGTCTGTATCTCCCCAGCTTTATTACTAGCAAAACACTGGAAGATTCCAGCATCCTGAGGATGCAGCCTGTGGATCCGGAGCCCACCACTCAGCAGTACTTTGTAGCGGGGGTTTTCCAGCTTGCTGAGGGGAACAGAGTCCTTATACCAGACCAGGGTGGGAATGGGAACGCCTATTAAAAAAAGAAGAAGAATTTCACTACTAGTTTTTGTAAAACATGTTTTAGGTAGCCAAAATTCCCAGCACTGTTGTAGTCATATCACTGTGTTCCATCCTTCTGCACCAATTATTTATATTTTTACAAGCTGCTTTTGATAAAAGGAGGCTGCATCTTACATTATCAATGGTAATAATACACTGCAGAACACGGGGGAATAAAACCACCAAACAGTGAAAGGGGGAATGTTGAGAAAACATGTTATCAAATAACTTTCCTCACCCAATCATATTTCATGCTACTACAAAGTAAGATTTACAGCAATTTCATGTTGAAAGCCAGAATGATGCTACTTAAACAGCAGCAGTGTGGCAATGCAGCAATTCTATAAGACTTTTCCATCCCAAATAAGATTTCTCTGTGCTACAGTAGTGAAGATGTCAAAATAAAAAGGAAATGGCAAATTACACATAAAAAATTAAGTGCTCACATGGCTGTATCCAAGTCCTAATTTGGCAGCTTAGTTTGAGTGATGTACAAACAGCATGTTGCCAACAATAGGACAGCTTTAAATTATTTTTATTTTTATTCATTTTCAACCTTCACCTGTTATTTGACAAATGCAGACATTAGGAGAAACAAAAATCCTACCCTAGCCATAACTTTCAGTCCCATTTATTCCTGTTTTCTTTCATGTGCATGTTCTACAAACCCTGACACAGTTATTTTACACATATTCTTGCTGCAGTCATATCCCAGTCAGCTGGGATGAAGTGCCTTTAAATTTAGTATATACGAATAGCGTAGTATTATTTTTTCTTCAAGAGATGTTGTGGCCTAGGACAATCATACACAGATGTTCCCATCCCACTCCTCTTATCAGGCAATGTTTTATCTTTACATCCCAGAAATCCCTAACTGATCAAATGCTGAGGGCCCTACGCAGGGATCTGAAGTGAAGCAGATATTTTGTGATTACATAATCACAGGATCACAGGGGTATCAAACTGATTTAAGTTATCTCAGCCCCAAACATGGCATTTTCACAATTGGTAGCTATGTCTGAATACTTATCACTTAAAACCTCAGAGCTTTACATTCCCTTGTCATAAGGGAAGGAAGTATGGACTTAAATTCATGGGCGAGTACACTTTGCCCAAACAGAAAAAAAGGCAGGTATCACAGAATTATTACGGATGGGAATCTGCAGACAATAAATTTTACTGCAATGTTGGCAATGATTTAAGGTTCTCACAGTGAAAGCATGATGGGAAGATCTGTATTATCACCATTGTAATTTTAAAAATCCCAAAGTTAATACTATTGTATCGTACTTCCATTCATATCTTCTCTCAGTGTACTTATTATACAGACAAAAGCTATATAAATTCCTGGAGAGAATGTACAAACAATGTATAGAAGGACTGAAAAACAACATTCAATTGCTGTTGTTACTTTTATAAACAGGCATCATTTACTACAATCACCTCTGATGCTTTTGTTCTGCTGACAAAATAAAATGTACCCATAATCCTGAAGGTAATCATCTCAGGAAGAAATCCACTACACAGAATGCACTGCCTGACAGAGGATAGATGTAGTGTATGCTTGCAACAGACATAATTTAAATTTCATACAACAGCCCATATACAGAATTAGCGTAAATTTCAATGTTCAGAATTCTCGGTGAGAGTGTTACTCATCTCTTGAAAATCCTCCTGGGCAAATACAAATTATCACTGAGTAATGAAGAAACAGATGATGCAAAATGGAATAGTTCTCCTGATGCTGAGAAGCCTGGAAATGATTTCAAGTTTAAATAATAGCAACTCCATTTTCGCACACATTAGCCTTGATAGGCACCTAGGAAATAATGAAATCCTGCATTCAGTACACTCAAACCTTTAACACTGGTGTCATTCTGTAAATCCCATTCTACTAACAGTATTGGCAAACCTTCTAATCCTATAATCACTGAGAGATACACCTTCCTATCACCAACTCAGCTGACAAACCGAATATTACCATCTCTATTTTTCTACATTTCAGTTATGGATATCTTCCCCTACTTCAAAGTTATAAGTCTGAATAATAGGATCTTATCTAAGCACTCTGATGCCTGTCAGCAGCATTCATTTGGGCTGTAGTGATCTTCCCAGAGAGATTTGTCTTCCAAGTTGTATGCATTTTATCACTTTGCTACCTCTTTGGCTAGAAAAATGGTTAAAATCAGCTTCCTTTCTTCTCCCACTCTCCTACCCACAAGCCTTCCTTCTCCCCACACGGCCAAAAGAATGTTGTTTCTTTCCGTCTCCAAGCACTTCTAATAAAAAAATTATGAACAGAAGAAAACACTTTAAAGATCTTTTGGACTATACTTTTCTACCCAGGCAGTATCAGTCCTACCTTACTGTTTGGGAGATTAGAGTGGTCTAAAAGACTAGTAACTAATAAAATAGGCTTATTTCTCAGCATGTATGCAGCACTACTATTTTATTCACAGACAAATCAATCTAGTGTTATGGTGGAGAAGGGAAGGCAGGAAACCGAGACCCTGGTGCTGGCTTTCCCACTTTCTCTCTAACCTTGAACAAATGATTTACGCAATCTGAGGCTCAGTTTTCCCATCTGCCAAATTTAACTTACTTAAGAACCTGGATAAAAGACTCGGAGTATTTACTGTGTCATTTCTGTTATTTATTCTTTATGGCCCTCTCCGGATCCCAGTGGGTTACTGGAGAATCCCCAAAGCATCTTTGCATCTTCTTGTCTAAACAGGTAGAACTAAAGTCCAATTAACTGCACTCCCTAGACACCACCACTGTTGCCTGCAGCTCTAAACTTTCTATAAGCAAATAAGAAAAAGTATTTAAAGGAAAGCCATTGAAAATGCAGGCAGCATCAGCAGCTGCTGAGAGATATACAGCAGAGCATGGCTACCGTGCAGCCTGATACACTGAAACTCCATTACAGGGAAGTATAAAGCTAGTCTGTGCAAGTTGCAATTTTATTTACAGTTAATCTCTGTTTATACTGTGAAATTAATCTGTCTCTCACACATTCAAAGTGCACCAAGACTTTGCAAATGGTCTTTGTGCACAGAACTTGATGGGGCTGGGAGAAATACAATCTGCCTTCCTATTTGTAGCAAAGGTACAGGGCAGCTTTGCAGTTTCCCATGTACTTTATTATAGCTCCTAGCTCAGAGCAGGGAGGCAGCAACCTTCATTTACCCTCTTTTTAAATACTGATAACTGCCAGATTTGGGTAATAATGGATCAAAACTCTGTGTTTAACACTAGCATCTGCCCCTTGTAAGTTTGTGCCACAGATACTTAGCGAAATAATCCACGTCCAGACAGGTTTCCATGCTCCTACACCATATTCATCAGCAAATCAGACATGCACTAGAACTGCTCAGCAGAAATAAATGATTTTGCCTAGTAAGGGTTCCCATATCTCCAACGGGACTTCATCTTGTGAGGTCCCTATTAATCTGCTTGGGAACAAAACTGCTCAAAGGAAGAGTTAGGGTAGGAGAAAGAGAGTTAACACATGTTCTGCAGCTGATAATGGTAATGCCTATGGAAAGAAGTCAACCTCTTCTCCTTGATTCTTCCAGATTTAGGATTTTTTACCGCAATAATGAAAGATATT